AGCTTCAACTATTTCCAAGGCAAATCTGCAGCGGTTCTCTAGAGATCCACCGTATTGGTCTGTTCGATCATTTACCTGATCTTTCAAAAACTGGTCAATTAGGTAGCCATGAGCTGCATGAATCTCAACTCCGTCAAAACCTACAAGACAGAAAAAAAGTAAGTATATACTTATGTTCCAAAGAGAAAAACACAGGGATGATTAGGGATGAAAGACAGGAACTTACCAGCTTCAATGGCATTCCTCGCAGCAAGCCTAAAATCATTGATAATTTTAGGAATTTCATCAGTCCTTAAACGCCGTGGAGGTGAGAATATTCCTTGAATAACTTCACCATCAGCTCTACCCAGTGGTTTTAATGCCTTGTCTGTGGAAGAGATTGGAGCTTGACCATTGGGTTGAAAACCTGTATATAGTAGCAAGGCTGAGCTAACTGATCATCAAAGATTAAATTAAGGACAACCCTTGTTTCTAATGACACTGTATATGCTCATTAATTGAATTTGATAAGAAACTATAAAAGGGACCCGTCAGTTGGAATAGAAATAATACAGGACACAAGATAAATCATTGCCTCCTCATAGAGTCATATTAGATAAGCCACTTCCCAATTGATCAAGACTCATAGTTGCTAAGTCATCCTAAGGCAAATTCCATAGCTTATATCTTGTAAACAAAAATATTTCTTTTTGATTCACTACCTCATTATATATACTAGATAAAGCTACTTCTCAATTGATCAAGATCTGGAACATGCCTGCTAGATCCTTCATATACTTGCTAACACATCTTTGCTCTTGCATAGCTTGTTTCTTGTTAAATGTTATTTCTTTTTGCTAAACCGATAATTGTCCTTGTTAAATTAATTTCACTGGAAGATCAGTAGAATGTATCAGTTACCTCAACCCCTTCAGCCCCTTCATTTTACTGGTGCCTTCCACACTCGCATACTAAAATTTATTTATAGCAATAGAATGAGACCTCTAAAGGTACTTCTTTCCTTTTACATTCCATGTAAGTTCATTCTCACTTGTAACTGTATGAAGCAAGGAAACCACAATTGATGACCTACTGGTGGCCGGCAGCATTAAAATCCTATATTTCTGAATTAAATAAGGTGTAATTTGCACTTAACCCCAATGTGGGCTTGGTAGGTGCACTTAAC